CGCAGCGGGAGAGTCACCGCCAAACTCCACCATCTCCTGCCCGGTGGGGCCATGCGAGAGCGGGGATACTAGCCGCCAGCCGGCGATGGATTCCTGGAGGGACTGTTTCCTGGTTCGCTGGGTCTGGGAGCAGTTGGTACGTAGCTTCCTATGTAGTCCCTCCTCTATCTCCAGCGCATTGATCCGGGCCACTGTGCCAGGAAAGCCCGGGGACCTCTGTAGGCCTCAATCTCAGCTGGTGCTCGGTCGGTGTAACTTTTCCCTGTGTATAAGGGGAGAGGTGTCTGGGAGGGCTGACGGTCTATGAGGGGATACATTGTACGGGAGAGTTGGATAACTTTTTCCTGACACTTCATAGAATTGTGATGGGACTTCATGAGAATTGTTTATATGTGAGGAGGCAACACCTGGGCCACTCGCATAATGTCCCTTCCCATTGGGACACATGGACACCGGCTTAAAGGACGCTGCGTTCACATCCGTACCGCGCTTCCATTTTTACACATCTGAACGCAGAAGTGTTCTTATATTGTACAGCTCTGCGCAAACTGTTGGCGCTATATAAATCCTCTATAATAATAATATTGTATATTACGGGCCGCTTTGCTCACTAATCTGAAGCAGAAAGTCTGTGTCCGTGGACGGTATTTATGTGTAATAAACGCGTGTACATGTGCAGACTAACAGCTGAAGGAACGGATGTGACCGTTTTTATAGATGTTTATTCATCAACAAATGTGTAAGCGGAACAACTTTACAGAACGTTGCATGCGTTCTTTTTACACAAAATCCTGCGTAGATATCAGTATTTTATTACACCCATGATTATTATTACTAAAGCGGGGGCCAGTCTACTTGTCCCTCAGGACGGTCCACTTGCCGTGGACACAAAATAATTTTAACCCAAGCCGCATTTAACCGTGCTAGGAATCGCTTCTCATTGGTCAAGCCGGTCAGGTGACAATGCTGACCAACGAGTACTTGCACTTTGCGACCGAAATTCAAAATCCATAGCGCAGGGCTGCACTGGACGGCAGTACAGGGTAGGAATAGTTCACCGAAAGGTAAGTATAGTGGGGGAGAAAGAGTTGGCCAGATTTGAGGGGGTAATTCCATTTTCCCAAATTACTTGGGAAAGTAAACTTACCATTTAATGCACATTGTAGGTGTTGGAGAGCGCTGCTGCTGCCCGGCTACCACACTATGGCACACATTGGAATGGGGGCAGAATTCGCACACAATGCCCTATCCATGCATTTATTCGCATGTAAATGGTGGTGGGGTTGGTTTTATCACTTTTTTTACTTATTTTTTTCAGTTAACCTGTTTGGAGGTGACAGGTTCTCTTTATGAAGACATCTGGGGGTCTATTAGACTCCCCTACCCTCCAGTACAGGAGATATGCTCGTTCTCCTGTGCAGCCAGGCGTGTGACTGCTGAGACAGGAAGCACTGCGAGTGGAGTGTTCCTGTCTCGCTGATCACACAGAGCAGATCGGGGAACGGATGTTTTCCATTTAGCTCTCCGTTTTCCATCCTGAAGTCTTTTGCTGTGGTCCCGGGTCCCCCGGAAGAGTGAGGGACTCCGAAAACCATAGCGGGGGGGGAACAAACAGGCCGCTACGAGTGATCTGGGCTACTGTACAGTCAGCTAGATCACTTGTACAAGAGGAGCGGCAAGGCAAGTGATGTAAGTCTATGTAGACAGAGGAGCTGTGCACCCTCAGCTTTCCGCAGCTCTGAGATTTGACAGTGTCACACGGACCTATATCTGTCATATATGCATCCGAGGCTGAACATCGCCTGTTTGTGGCTGTCAAAACTTGGAGTTGTGGGAAGCAGCGTGTAAGAGCGCACATCTCCCGATTCTTCTAGTAGCTCTGGGCGCATCAAAAAATGTCCGTTCGCACTGTGTGGGCCAGCGCGCCTCATGTCATTGAGACCCTTAAATGGGACGTAAAATAATTCTTCTTCCATCCCTCTAGCTCAGTTTTCAATCCTGGTATGTAAACAATGCAGAGATACTGGCTGCGGACGCTGCATTTTCTACTATGATTTTACTCTGCTGAACACAGCACAAGATTACTGATCACAATATATGAGCCCATAATATACAATACATCTGTGTTCAGATCCCTGAAAATCTATACGCTGTACAGATCTGATGGCGTTTTTATTACATCGGTGTGTGTGAGTTCTTATGTGTCCAGACACACAGCTGCATTGTGCTCAGGAAGCTTGTGCTGCTTTTAGCTGGGGTAAAATCCAATGTTGTGTTCCGTATTTCTCCATAATTTACACGTGTGCATGTAGACACATGTGCATGCCAGGACTGAAAACTGAGCTGGAAGAAGAATTTTACGGATGTGAATGTTTTATGGATGTTTGGCGGATTCCCACCAGTGCGGTTTGGTGCACCTACCCTGTATTGTAGTGCGGGAGGTGCGTTGTGCTGCCATTTATTGGAATGGCACCCTAAACACACCTCTGGCTGCGATGCATTAGGCTGCGCCACAACACTTGGTACCGCATTGTGATGCAGCTTTAGCCGCAGTGCGGTACTGTGTGTTGCGGCGTGGTTGGATGCAGTGCAGCCAGAGATGTGTTTAGGGTGCCATTCAAATAAATGGCAGCACAACACACCTCCTACACAAGGTAGGTGCATTATGCGGAGGTATGCGATAATCACATGGAACTGTGCGATTAATGAACGACACAGGTGTGAATGGGCCCTAAATGCGTGTCAGCAGATGAACTTTATAGACTTACACATGTTTCTAACACAGGATCTTTCTGCCAGCACCATACTGTGTGGATATCAGTATTTTATTACACGCGTCTGCATGCAACACATTCCAATGCTACAATAAAGTTTTCTAGTTACTATTTTGTATCAGAAGTCATATTAAATTCTGCTGCCTATTTGTGGTCTGCTATGTGATCTTTTCCCTGACTTTGTTTTATCAAATGAGTGATTTTATTTCTGGTTAACCAGCACCCCCACACCCCCAGCTTCCATGTTTCTGGTGTGATAAGTAAAGAGACCCTGCCACCCACTTGAATATATGCAGGTAAAAGCACAGAAAACCCATACTGTGGATGCTTACTTGCATTGTTTTTCCTTTTCCCTTAAAGGGCAACAGTTCCCTAGCCTCCTCCATCCCTGCACATCATAGCCCTCTCCTCTGCACTGCAAGAGTTAAAGGGGGGTGGAGAGGAATAAGGTGTAATAATTACCTTATTCCTGGCTCTGGTAAGCCTTTTTCCATCTGTGTGACTGGTCCCCAAAGCCTCTTCTCTATGGTGCTCTAGCCAGGGGTCAAATGCTGGAGTTATCAAGTGCAGTGCAGGGCCAATATACCTGCATTTTACATGAGAACTGCAAGGGCTCATCCACAACCCTGAGCATCAGAGAGAAGAGGAGGGTGCCAGCGCCTGTCAGATTAAGGAATAAGGTAAGTATTACACGTTATTTCTCTACCTCCTAGACTTAGTGACATTAAACTCAGGAGTGAAATCTTAAAAACACATTCAAGTAACTTAACTGTTAACAAAAATGTATCTTATTTGTGTATCACTCGGCTGTAGATCCTCCAATCATCTCTGAATTGGTGCTGACACTGTCCTTCCTTCAGGAGGGTGGCTACTTTTGTTCCCCATGGTCCCTGTGTGTGTTGCAAAGTAGTCACCACTCCAAGCTCACTCCAGTGATGGACTACAATCTCAGTTTAGATTTGTAAACTAAACATGAGGTTGTAGTCCATCACATGAGGTAGCTTGGAGCGGTGACAAATAAGTTACATTTTTGTTAATAGTTAAGGTGAATGCATTTTGAAGTTTTAACTCCTACATTTAGTGTCACATTTAACTCTTGCAGTGCAGTTGGTCCCCCTGATTTTTTTACACTCTGAGTTCAGCTTAAATGACTCTATATGATGGCCCAGCTCCTCTGCCCCTCCATTCACCTCCATACGTAACCTTTTATTTAGCATCCAGGGGAGGAGTGAAGGTGCATTCCATAGTGTCACTTGAGCGACTGCTGAGGCTGCTGACATCACATCCAAGATGGGGTTGCCCAGTAGCAATCTCAGGGCTTTGTCACATAAGTCAGGCTTTTACAGGTAAATAACATGTATACACCATGCACAAGTAATCTTATGGAAAAGTTATTGATAAGGTGAATGGTCTGGCAGTTGGGCCTCTAATGGAGGGCAATGGCTGAGTAAATGTTTATTCCTGAATGATGTTTTGTGGTCAGTGGGAAGTCTAGAAGCATTGCTGGTACTTGTGTGTTGTGTCCACAGCAGTCTGCACTTGACTTTGGAATGTTTGCATTGGCTCAGCCTTTCACCGGGCACATCTAATGTTATTGATTCTCCGGAGACATAGTTCACTGCACAGGGGGCTCACTTTAAGCATCCGTGGCTTTTTGACATATGTTGAAATGAAGCGTTGGTATGTTGCATTTCCTGGATGCGCGTATTCTCATGCTTCTGTTAAAGCCGTTGTGTGCATAGAGGAGCAACATTTCTATTGTAAACAAGGAACCTGCTGCTGCCTTTGCATCATTTGTTAACCTCTTGCCGTCCGCCCGTAGTAGAAAAACGGACGGACGGCACTGCTGCATTGGCGGGTTGCCGTCGCCAGACGGCATTTTTTTTCTGCCTGCGCACGCCCCCTAGCGGGCACGCACGGGCAGAAAAGACCCGTCCAATGCGAACACCCGGTACCGGGTGTTTCACATATAGGCGATCAGCGGGTCCATAGCCCGCCGATCGCCTATATGTGCTCGTTTGCGTCCGCACATCGCTCCTTGCTGATCTCCGTCCGGGCTGTGAATGCAGAAGTGATGTGTATTACATCACTTCCGCATTCACCTGTCAGTCATCTGGCTGCTATAGCCAGAGAGAAGAAGCTGATAAAGCAGATCTCTAACTCCAGCCACAAATATCAAAATGAATAGGCTTTCAGAGATAAAACAACTAGCTTTTGCTGTAGTGTTCACCTTGAATAAAGAGTTTTCCCCCATTGTACATGCATTCTGAGCACATGGCTGATGAAGGATTCCTGCATGGCTCCGAAACGTTGCACTAATGTGATGCGACCGCTTCAATAATCTTTTATATGTTGCGTATCC